TCTCTCTCTCTCTCTCTCTCTCTCTCTCTCTCTCTCTCTCTCTCTCTCTCTCTCTCTCTCTCTCTCTCTCTCTCTCTCAGGAATAGTTGGATCAAATTAATGGTTCACATTTTCACTAATATGGAAATTGATTGGCAAGTTGAGCTATCAGAGAAAATCTGCATTGAGCACTCTTAAAATGCATTTGCTGTCAACTGAAGAGCAGTGAACTTTTAATTGAATCATAGAGCACTTGTCAGAGCACATCAGTATTCAGTGATTCTCTTACTTTTCACACATTTCAGTTAAATTCTGCAAAAAATGCCTATTAATTTAGCCCCCACACCACCACCACCCCCATAGAATTTAAAAAATAAAAAAATTATAAGCAAAATGAATGAAAGAAAGAAAAAAAAAAACAATTTTAAAAGCAATTTCCAGTGGTGTTACTAAGCTGGTGTATTATCGTGATGTTTGCTTGTTGTTATAAGTAGAAATATTGATAAATGGCACTCGCATCAAAAGATGTTGTATAATATTATGTATATATTTGTTGCTATGGGTATTTTAGGGTACAGTCGAGTGTGACAGCGAGACAGCTTTTGAGCTAGCAGCGCATGTGTTGCAGGCAGCACATGGAGATTATGAAGAGTAAGTATGAAATCACACGCACATGTGCATGTATGCATATATACATATTCTGATAGGGGTGAGATTAAACTGAATGAGTCAGTCGGATATAATCTTTGTAAGTTTCCCTACAGCTATTGGTGAAAGTGTAGTTACTAATGCCAAATCCCAGTATTCTAATATTGGAAGTTTTGTCATCATTGCACAGATATTTTCAGAACGTCTTTTGACACTGAAAAATTTATCTGTCACATAGACTAAATACAAGTCTTCAGTACAAAAAAAGTAGGGCTTGGCTGCTGGAGTTTTAACATAACAGGATCCCCATTATGAATAATTCAGTGTTTCTGATGACACTATCAGTGTTTTCTGCCCAGGCATAGTGACTCATGAATTCCGCGGGGGATCCAGAGGTTTTAAAAAACATTGCTGGTATGGGATAATGAGTAGTAGAAGTGAGATAATTGTGGGAAATCTTCCTAATTACAATCATTTTTTAAACACCGTAGTCATTCCAGTCAATTAAAGCCCGCAGCACAGTCAAGCAGATCTGTCGAATTAAAATTTTTTAAAATCTTTCATCTTCTAACATTTTTTACCCAAGGGCAGGTTTTATTTGATTTGGACTTTTAGGTTGGTCTTGTTTTGTACAATTTTTTCTCCTACAAAAACTTACTTTCTTTGCTAAATTTAATATGGAAATCAAATCATTTCTTTTGGGTGTAAGCAACTAATTTATTACTTAAATTGTTTTTAGGGAAGTCTAATCAGTTTTGTTCAAATTAATTGAGAAATTACTCCACCTTACCTTAAATGGTTATCACAAAAAGTACCCAAGGTATTCTCCTAAATATGCTGCTATTCTTAGCTGACGAGTTTCGCCAGCAATGCGTGACATTCGATTGAGTTTTAGCAGTGTGACATGTTTATAAAGTCAAGTTATAATGCACTGAGGAAAAGAGAACAGGGCAGAATGGTTTTACGAGGACTTGAGCAATTAGTTTCAAAGGCAGCCATTTCCAAATGTTTTGAAGCAATACATTTTCTATTTAGTTGATAATGGGGTAAATGTGCCTTTCTCAAAGCATATCCATCATTGCTGTCAGCTCTCTTAGATTTTATTCTTATTATAACCAAGGGCAGAGTAGGGGAAGACTTGCTGCATGCACGAAGACTTACGACTGTATTGAAGTCCTTACACCACCATCATGCACACTTGCACTTGATCACACATGCACATACGCGTGCACGGAGAGAGAATAGGGGATAAAAAACACTAGTCTTGCGCACATAAGCCTAGTCTGAATATGCTTGCAATATTAATGAGCAATTAGGATTGTTACCCCCCCCCCCCCCACCAATGCCTGCTGTACTTTTTGTTATAATTTTTTACAAAACAGATGAATCATTTCCTGCAGAAATAATTGTTTTGCTGTTTTTGTGCTGACAACCAAATGACTAACAGCCAATACATAAGTCTGACTTTGTTCTTGGATCTAGATCATTTATGGGAAATTAATGTGTAAATTTAAGTCTAAATTCTGCAAAGTCATAATGAGGACAGGTTTTGTGCATTCAGAATACATACTATATTGGGCTTGCTTAGGATTATTCTGGATACTTCTTGTATTGCAACACATTTTTTCCCTGAGCCAAGTTCAAATTTACTTGCAAGATTCATTTGTAAAAGGCATATTTGCCTGGGGTAGGTGTTCTTACTAAACTGTATGAATCACTGAATTCTTGAGATCTTTCCTTCTCTTTGTTTTATTTGTAAGTTGTTTTTTGCACTGGTTTCCAGTAATTACTCTACTTTTTAGGGGTTGTTAGAGGCATCAGTTGTGTGAAGTCTGGTTCAGCATTGTCCTGGGACTTCATATTTTACTGAGAGTGGCCACCATTTACTGTTTCAAGTATCATTGGTGTTCCTATATAATTCCTTTTGTCTTGGTTTTATTGCCCATGTATTAGCTTGATGGATAGAATTTTTTCCTATTTTCATACCAAATCATCAATTACCAATATGTCACCAGTGTTTGTAAAAATTAATTTCCTGGAAGGAATCGTAAAGTTGGGCACAATAGCCCATTGATGTCGCCAGATAAAATGTTTTTTGATGTTGAATGGGATTGCCTGTTATAAATATTAAATGAAATTGATGGAAGCAGTCTTTTTTTCCTTTATCTTAGAAGGGATTTTTTCTTGGTTGTTGAGAAATAAACCGAAATTTCCTGAAATGATCATTAAATAAAGCATTGCTGTCAGCTGACATTTCAGTATGGTTATGCTGTTCTGTTACTGGAGTTTGCTTGCTATGACATTCAAGAAAGGGAGATATGGGATATACACTGTCACCGTGCTCTTGTGCTACATATTACACAGATTATTATTATTATTGTGGCGCATATCAAATTTTAATAAACATAAAACACTACGCAATTTTGAGCAATTTATAATTCACGAAATCCTGTGAGTAGATCTATCTGTCAAATGAGAGCCATTCAGAAGTCATTTTCTGAGTTCTATGCTCGATTAACCCTCCTATTAAGTGCTACTTTGTCTGGCAACTACAAAGACAATGGCGGCAGGAGTAATTTGTTATATCAGTTTAGTGAGTTAGTGTTTAGTGCGTTGCATATATATGTGCGTTTGGTGTGTCTGATGGAGAAAAATAAGACTGACAAAAAAATCTGCATAACGCCCAAACCGTTGTTAGATTTAGATGTTGGTTGGTCTGGCAACAGTGGAGACATCTACATCGGATGTAATTCGTCATAGAAATGTAGGGGGGGGGGCTGGACAGAGTCCAATGCACTGGATACGTGATCTGTATTCAAATGTTTCGATATGAAGTTTTGATAATCAGTTTGTTAGCAGTTGAGGTGAATGAGTGTACACCATTTTTACATTAGTTTTGAAGTGAAGCTTGTCTTTCTTATGTCTTATTTAAAGGCTGTGTTGACTTGAATTTTGGTATTTAGAAGAGTTGCCTGAGCTTTTTTTTTTTTTTTTTTTTTCCACCAGGAAGCTTACTTTACACACTGTAAATGTTGTACCTACAAGCTGTTTCAGATGTATACATATTGTAATAGAATTCATGTTAATCGCAGAAATGAGGGTATTTAACTATTTTGGCAAATTATTTCCATTATTCAGCCACCAGTATATTTTATATATCTTAATTTACAATGCTGGCAAAGGCAATCACTTGATTTAATGAAGTGAATAAATCTCTTTTAAATTGTGTTTAAATGGTTCAGTTTGGCCGTTTTCCCACAGGTGATAGATCTGCAGATTGGCTAAAAAATCAGAGATGATATTTTAGTGCTGTTATCTCCACTGTATCTTTAAACTTAAGACTTTAGGTGAATTACACTGAAGCCAGCTAATTGCTGATACCTGTTTAGTACTACATGGCTATCTAATGATGTTTTTAATTATATTTTCAGTGATGATATAACTCGTAGTCAGCTAAAGAAACTTCCAGTTCTCCCGACCAGTATATTTAAGGACCATCCTTCTATACAGTACTGGTGAGTTGTAATGGTCTGGCCTAGTACTTATTATAATAATAGTGATTATACCGTGAATGCCAATTTAGATATTTGTTTTGTGACCTACATGTTATTTACTGCCCAAGTAGACAGTTGAATAAAAAGAAAGAAATGGTTGAATATTTATCTTTAAGATGAGGAATTGATATATATTTACTGTTCAAAAAATAAAAGCCAGATGGAGCAAACTTCTTACCTGCTGTTTTTTCTGTAAAAGAAAATACAGGTATTAGAAATTTGTAACTTAAGTGTATTTCTCTTTGTAAACTGTCAACAAAACTAAAGCCATCTTATTTCTAAAGGATTTCTCATTCAGGAGGCACACTGAGATAGAGTGAAGAAGTGAGTGTTTTAAAATTGTTTATAAAAATTGTCAAAGATTTAAGAAAATATTTTCATTTTCCAGTGAGGATAGAGTTATAGACCATTATAAGAAGTTATCAGGGCAGTCCAGGGGGTCAGCTATTGTGAAGTAAGTACAGCTGTCACATTGCAACACAGGGTCTCAACTAACGCAATGTGATTGAACACTATCCTAATTTAAAATAAAATATAAATAAATAAAATTTCAATAGAACAGGACATGCTTTAATCCTACGGGATATTTGCCAGGTAAATTCTCTACATCACAACAGTTTATAGGATTTTTCTTCTCCCCCCCCCCCCCTTCCCTCTTCCTCACTCATGTCTAAAACATTTACATGATAGATTAAGTCACAAGGTGGTTCACAGCTGGGTTGGAACATTCATCTTGCAATATTGATGTATTTTGCTCAAGTTGTATAATATTCCATCACATGGCACACCTGCTACCCACGGGGAGCTTAGTACTCATGGTGAGATATTATGTGGCATTATGGTATGTGTTGGCAATTACTCGACAGATTTGATTTCGTATTCATCCTTTTTTCCTCAAAAATTATTTTGGGATAGTAGTATTAAAAAGAAAAAAATTTGAAATACCAGAATAAAAACTGGGTTCAAGGTAAAAAAAAAACAAAAATGCATAAATCTTGGAAAAAAAATAGATACTGTAAAATGTAAGGTGTTTAAAAGTTGTAATTATTGAGCATGCATTCATGAATTGAACTAACTTATTATGTGGTCTTACATCCATATTTATAGAAAGATTACTTCTTGGATTAGGACTTTGAAAGAGATCCAAGATGATTAAATAACAGTGGAATTACTATGAAACTTTTTGGAACATTATTTATTTATTTACTTAAACAGCAAAATTTCTTTCTTTCTTATTATATTGCATTGTGAGAGCAAAGTGCAGAGATAGCTATGAATTGATTTATTAGAACATCGCATAAAAATTTTTGATGAGTTTTAGATTGCTTTAAGCAGGAAGCATTCATTATGTGATAATGGAAATAGAAATAATGGAAATAGAGATCAGTCTAGATCTGTGGTGTTAGATGCTTTGATAATTTCTCTGGCATGATAATTAGTCTGCTAGGTAGCAAGGAAAGAAAAAAGATTGTATTTTGATTGTACAGTCTAATTGATGAAAATATGGAAAATTTGACTAAAATTAATATAGTTTTATTGTAAAATAACAATTTCGGCCATCCAGCAAAAAGGAAAAAAAAAAAAAGAAGCAAATTGGGGGTGGCACAGGGCATACTCTTTGGTGATATCCCTATTAAAACATGTACAGTCAGGTAAAGCTGTCAGATGAAATTGAGTGTAATGTACGCTATAATGTAGATTTCATTGCATGGTTCATTTCATGTGACAGCTTGCTATATGAGGCAATTTAAAAGTTATGAATATTGATGAGCAAGAATGAGACACTGTTGCTTGTAGAAAGTGGCTAGTACTTCAAAAGGATTTGACTGGATACGTATAAGTACTCAAAAATCAGTTTATAAATCAATGAGCTGGTGGGAATACCAAATAAGAAAGGGAGCAGCTAGAACTCCAAAGAAACAACAATGTTACTGGGAATTCTCATGACAATGTTACTAGGAATTCTCACGGGTGCTGCACAGCTCAGTAGAGCGTAAAATACTCGATGAAATCCTCTCAGCTGTGACATGGGCATAAATAATGCTATTTAATTTGGCATCCTACGTTAATGACCTCCCAGTTTGTTATAATTCTCTTGGCGCGCTGTTCTGAAACCAAGTGACAGGCAATTTTGTCCTTTCAACCCATGACCTCTGACCCTGGTCATGTGACTGACTTTATGGTACTTGTATTTTCAGTTATCTGAGTATAGTGGAAACGTTACCGACATACGGAATACACTACTATGAAGTCAAGGTAAGTGACTGGGTGGACAAGGGATGAGTTGATGCCTCAGAGAGAGAGAAAGAGAAAATATTTTCGCTTTATCATACTTTTAAGTGATGCCATCAATTCAGAGTACAGCAAAATATGTTTTGTGCCTATTATGCTGCATAGGAGGCAGTATGGTTCCTGAATTCATATCCTATGTCGCAAACTTCAGTTCCCGTGCCTTTTGGGCTGATAGTGGTGTGAAGGTTTTGAGTTGATATGTTTGATATTTTAGTATTTTTAGAATTTATATAGGGACCACGAGCTTATATAATTTACGTTTATTTTCAAGTTTTGTCTTTGGCAGCTCTCTTTTTAGCACCTCCAGGTATACTGTACAGTATGTATTAAGGGCACTTTTCCAGTTTTGCCTGTTTAAACTCTTTCAGCAGCTAAATGACTATTTAAACATCTCTCACTGTCACCAACTTTATGAGGAATTATGGAATAAAAAAAAACTGTCGGCAATATTTTAAAACTTTTCTTTAGCAACTACAAGTTCTCTTCAACAGTATGTTTAAAAAGTATCCTTGCTGACAGGAACATAGACTACATAGTACAGTAGTATATTTTCAATGCCTTTTAACATCCTCCAAAATGAAAATTGCATAAGGAGCGCCCTGTCTGTGTAATGGTGTAATATATAGAGGAATGCCTAGAGATATGTACCTTTCTATTATCCCAGCGGTGGCTGGGGGAAAACATACGCAAGTCAAATTTACCAGTCCATTGTTATTGTTTATACTGCATTTGAAATCGCCTACCAAATTTCCATTGCTGGCTGTGGACTCAGTAGGGTGAGTTTAGCTCAATGTACTGAGAATTTATTTTTTGTGTCTGTGCGACGGCTGTTGAGTAATGATGTATTAACTGGAAGTGTGCTTGTATGCAGAAAAAGGAAATGAGCTTATGTCATATTTTTGCTCATTTTGTTTTGAAAAAGAATCTGCAGCCGACAATTTTTGCGTAGAATTTGAATTTGCAATAAGTGGTCAAATGCATTGGCGACATTGATTTTTATGAGAAAAAGGTGCTTTTTTTACTATTTTGAAAGGCTTAATATTTGATGGGTATTTCCATAAGAAGGGAATATTAAATGAAAATGATAGAAAGATTAAGCCCCAAGACTTAAACAGCCTCCTCCCTGATCCCTCCATTAGCTTATCCTAGTCAGCATAATAATAAAAATAATAACACATTCAAGTTACAGACGTCCAACGCCTCGCCATATTTTGTTAAGCCAATGAAAATATTAACCCAGGGGTATTTGGTGTATTCCGCTCTCCTCGCAAAGCAAACACACCTCTTTTTGGCCCACTCTGGGCCCCTTTAAAAGACCCCCTCAACCCATCAAATTGTGACTTGGACCTCTTTAAGAACAGGTAGTGGAGTGAGGGGAACCCTTTGTGTTCCAAGTGTAAAGCCAATCAATAAGCAGCTTTTGTGTGAGCAGAAGTCGAGGAATGTGCGTGTGTACAGTTATTTGCCACTGGGGTCTTATGGGTACGTGAGCTGTCCGATGTCCGCGTGATAGTTTAGGGATGGTTACTTCATTAATTGGCCATCTTTTAAGAAGAGTCTTTTGTGATTAGTTGCAGCCATTGATGAACTATAGTTTCAAGTACTGGCTCATGCAGCTTACTTGAACATACAGTGTCTTGATTACTGGTAAGTTTTATAGGTCTTCATTAGGGAGTAGAAAGTTACACAGTTGCTCAGTTATTATCTGGACCAAGGGGAAGATGTTTTTAACTTAAAATTCCATTAGATTTTGATGGAGATACATAATATAATTAATCAGTTAATTGATTAATTAATTGAGAGATAATGAGAATTAAACTGCCTTGGCGGGGGTCTGCACTTCCTGAGTGCTTCTCTAGTTCCTTAATGGGATAAAAGTACTTTATTACCTGATGGTCAACTCAAAGGGTACAAACAGGATGGTGTGACCAGGTACTGTAACAGGTATACTTCATCTACACCAGGGGGACAGGATATATATCCGGCTGGTGGAATGTTTATATATGTACATATATACACCAGGGGAGCACTGTGGTGCAGTATATTTTGTTTGTGCTGGAAGGACCTCTATATGTCCAGGCTACTTTCTAAAGTGTATATAGGAAGTCGATGGTAAACAATTCATTGGAATTCAGCCCACTCCTTTCTCTGTACAGTGTGATGGTGAAGAATTGCTGATAATACTCTGAGGAGAGAATGTGCTGAGAATATGACCGCAAGTAGGTGAGGATTGGCTCTAGGAAGTTGCACTCTGCAGTATGTTGGCTCTATATATGTATAGACTGGGGCATTCAGGGGAAAACACCCTGAGTCTTAGAGAAAATGGCAGAAAGGACTAGATCTTGAATATTTTGATAATAATGCACTTTTTTGGCTGTGTTTGAACATTAACCCTCAAGAGACCAAGCTATTTTACTGACTGAAATGACCAAGTGGGGTCATCTATGACCCCATTGTGCTCTGTACAGGGATCCTTATTATAAAAGGCTGTTGAGGCTTTATCACACCCATGCTACTCCCAGGATTTAAGACAAGTATTCTATAATGATCTAATGTAATAAGTATTTGGTAATAATACTTTTATTGCATGAAATAACCAAGCACAGATTTTAAGAACAACATTACACCGGTATTTAGACAGTCCTTGTCAGTTGCAGAAATATTTCTCTTTTTATTTGCCACACTAAATGAAAAAAGTACATTACAAAATTACTTTGAGTAAAAATATTTTGATTTATGTTGAGATAGCATCCTGCTAACTTCAATAAGAATAATTAGCTGACTTGCTGAGTAGGGAATACCCTAATGCTGGTAAGGAAGTCATACTACTCAGAACACATTCAATCAACCTACATGTATGTTACCACAGCTGTGTATAAAACAAAATCCACACAAACAATTTGTTAATATATGTATAATATGATATCAACAGAATTATTTAGATTTCCGAAATACCCGAAAATTGTAACCGTCAAAATGAGAGACCCCGTTATGAGAACAAGTTCCAACAAAGCTACTGAAATTAGATTCAGCGATGCACTATTAATAACACTTCAAGCACAATCTTCACAAACCACTTATTTGTGCCTATGTTTTGGGCACACTGGCTGGTTGCATGAAGCACATGCATGTGACGTTTTCCTGCCAGTGTTGCCTGGGCAAAACATTTGAATAAAATTTAAAAACTAATATGTAAAAACAATGCGTCTCTTTGGGGTCATTTATGACCCCACAAGAGTTTTTGATGTATACGCCACACTAATTGGTTAATCCCTACAAAAAACTGTGAAAGTGTGTAGGATTAGTAGACTGACAAACTCATGCAAGGAAAGAAAATATGAATAAAAAATAAAGAGATGGCACATTAAATCATATGGCTGGGGTCGTAAATGACCCCACTCGGTCACTTGAGGGTTAAGGGTGCAGTGTAATGTATGGGCTTTGTTAAGACAGGGACATTCAGGGTGTAACACCCTGAGTTTCAGGTTAAGAGGCCAAGGCAGGCATATCTGATACTCTCGGTGAAGAACAGCTGCTTAGGCTACACCTGAGGGTAAAACGACTTTACCCTCTTTGCATTGGAATAATTTAACTGCATGGGGTTCAGAGAGAAGCTGTTTACATAGCCAAGTAGATTTTTAGCTCAGTCTTGGTCCATTACAAATGGACGGTATGTATTTATGTATACTACATGGACATTTACTTTGTGAAGTTTAAACATTTCAGCTGATGGGGAAGGGAGGAAGAAGAAAGCGGTTACTGGCTGAATTTTAATAGGAGGGAGTAGGCATGATCAATAGATCTATGATTTGTTTCTGATTTAGGTAAAGAATGTTTAGATTGTTGTGTGAGCCCATATGCAAATTCATAAGAAATGTATTCCAATACAAGTTTGAAAGATATGGATATGATCATAAATCTGCTGAAGGGTAGAGTTGAGTGACTTCATTTCAGTATGTTTTGGTGCCGTGGGTGAAATATTCCTCCTTGGAAGCAGTATGTGATAACTGGTCATTTAATCTCTTATAGTTGTGTATTGCAATTTCCTTAATAAAGTGAGAATATTCTGTAAGAAAAGCACAGTGGTTAAAATAAGCTCCAAGGCATGTAACAGTATCAGTTATTAGTGAAATGTCATTTTGGCTCATAGTGTACCTGTAATTGCATGGCGGCAATATAGAACAATGGAACCAGAGAGGAAAGTGTTGACACAGAAGCTTTCTTACTGTGTTGCTCATTGTAATCCTTTCAGTTCTTCACATTTGTGCAGGCCTGACGCACAATGCTTTATGGTGAACAGCAATTAAATGCCGAACTTAGACTTTTCTGGCTAGGACCTAATATGCGATAGTGATCAGGGAAACCTGATAATCTCGCAATTGTGGTACAGCATTGCAATTTCCTCATTTTGCTTCTCGGGTGTCGTATCTGTAGGGTGTTTTTTCCTGCCTCCATTCACAGGAAGACACTACATTTGGGATCTTTTAATAAGTGGAGGCGTTGGTTCATATTGAGTTATAAATTGATTGTGCTTTATCAGTGGTTGGTTATCATGTATTCTGGTAGCCTTGTTCACAAAAGATTTATAGCAGTTACCTGTTCCTAATTTTTAAAAAATTGTCAATTTCTTACACAAAAATTGAAACTTCAGCACATTATTGGCATGCTGAGCACCTGCCAGCTTTCATTCAATCAACACATTGAGATGGTGCTAGCATTTTTTTAATGTTTTTATGTTATTTTGGAAGTATTTTATGCCTGATGTGAATATATCCATGTGAGACTTATTTCCAATGGGTTTGCCTGGTAGAACTTGATTCTCCTGAGTGGCTGACTTGATTACTATTGATAAAGTGTCGTATATTTTGTAGAAATTTCATCTGATGCCAGGTTTACCTTTGATACATCATTGATTGGAGTGAGTGTGTATGAATTGTCTGGGGTATCTGTGATTCTGTGAGGAGAGCTTGTTAAGTTCATCATTGATTTGGGTATAAAACTCTCTCTCTCTTTCTCTCTCTCTCTCTCTCTCTCTCTCTCTCACACACACACCTTGATATACCTTTCTTATTTTGAAGCTTTATTAAAATTTTTGTATATATATTCATTGCAGGATAAGACAGGTTTGCCATGGTGGCTTGGTCTCAGTCCTAAAGGTATAGCCCAGTATGACTACGCAGACAAGAGGACACCCAGGAAGGTACTGTAACATGCACACACACACATACGCACACGTGCTCAGCTAATAGATGTGGGTATTTTGTTGTTATATACATACTTTTTCTTTTATATAACAGTAATGTAAGCACATTCACACACACACACACACACACACACACACACACACACACAGTGTAGAAATAAGTGCAATGTTGTAACAGTAAAACACAGCTGTTGTTTGCCTAAGATGTTGAAGACACATACTTCAGAACAATGATTTCTGACCTTTCTTATCCTTTTAACTGTAAAACGACTTAAAGGAAATCAATTCTTCTGCAACTGATACTGCATTCACATGGGTCCTACATCACCCTGGTTGAGTGCTTTGCAGTCTTGGTCTTATTGGTGTCCAGTGTAGTGAACAGAAACGAATATTACTGGTTCACAATCTGTTTTTTTTTTTTTTTTTTTTTTTTTTTNGGCTTTCTATTTCACCCATGATTAAGGCCATTATCACAGCAATAATAATGGTCATTGTTCGTGTTTAGTTTTCCTCCTATGTTATGCAAGTGCTGGCATCAGAGAGCAAATGATGTTGCTCTTTTTCTGTGCAGTTCGTTGGAAAGAACAAAAGAAGCATCAGGGCACTTTGTGCAGACTTGTACCTGTTACCTGTACAACTGAGAAATAGAAGACAAATCATTAATAAACCCTACCTTGCTGTGAATTTCCTCTGAGAAAAGCGTTACGTATTTTATTCATTTTCAACTATCTTAATGCAAATTAATTTCTTTTCCTAGAATAGAATAAAGATTTTTCTTTCCCCCCTTCTTGTACCTCTAGACATTGACTTCTTCTTTTTGGCTTCTGATTGATTCTAGGACCCACACATGATCAATAGCTTGTTGTGTAGGCATCAGTAGCACCAATTGGTCTCAGTGCTAGATAGATAAATGCAGGTCCCATTCAAAAGTGTGGCATTGGCTCTGGAAATTTGTCTGTAACTGGTTTGATATATGTCCATAACCAGTTAAATATAGGTCCTCACAGTGTTCAAAGATTGGCTTGGGTTCAGATTTAATCACCAAATAAACTGTGAATTAACCTTTTTTTTTTTTTTTCATGTAAAATAATAAATATATTTGTGAAGTATCAGCTAGCTAATATTACCATTAATTTAGCCGTCTGAAGTCTGAAGCCCTAGTAGACTATGTCCATCTTGCTCTGCTTGGCAAAGATCTGGTTTAAGACAGTCATTGGTCACTTAATAATAATTTTTTTATTGTCTACTTGATCATGACCAGAATTATCAAGAGCACACTAGTAAGTGTTTGAAGCTTCACTTAATAAGTACTATTTCAGCAAGTTTCCTTTTCTTTAATCCCAGAAGAGACAAAATGTATTCACTGTAACTTTTTTTTGTGAAGAAATACAACCATATTTTCTTAAAGGTTATCTTTGAGGGCTGATTTCTTTTCAGATAAATTCTTCTGCTGTGGCATTTCAGCTAGCGATGTATTGCTTCCTCACTGGTATTTCTGTTTCTCTCTGTAGTATATTTGATCTGGAGAAATCAATAAAAGTTTGTGATATATACAAACATAACTGGTCCCTGAGGGGGAGTTTCCTCTTTTATTGTCTGTTATTTCTGTGGACATTGTGTGTGTGTGTTTCAGTGATGGGTCTCAGTTGATTAAAACATGTACAGGTTCAGCAGATATCTCTCTGGCACCCTGAGTATGCTGGTTATGTATGTGACTACCAAGTACCCAGCCTGCCTGTTTTTATAACAAGATTAGATGATAATGACGGGGTTGTTCCATAAAGTAAAAAATAAATGAACAGATAAAATAATATTAAAGTTTAAAAAACAGAAAAAAAAAACATTTCCAAAATTTTAGTCCACTTGAATCTTAGGTAAATCAGCAATAGTCCCCTTAAATTTTGGGATTTTAACGAATTATTTATTCATTTATCTAACTTTTTTTACAGATTCTGTTTTCGAATTACGTCCCTCTAACTTTAAAAACTTTCATGGCTTGGTAATGCCCATGAAGTACCTGCAGACTATCCCGATGGCACTCCTGCTAATTAATTTATGGAAAGGTCCATTGATTACTTTTTCCACTGCCCACAGGGCGGCATAGTAGACGTCTATATCGATCATCGCCTCAAAGATTTTTACTCCTTTTCTAAAAATAAACCAAATGAGTTACTTGTCTTCTTTTGAATGGGTAGATGCGCTTCAGAGACTTAAGTCAGTGACCTTAAAAAAGAAAAGGTGTCAATTTGAGCTTTTAGTGGATACTGTTTCTGCAAAAGAGGATTGGTTGAGTAGTTTAATGAGGTGGGTGTCAGGTGTGTGTATTGATTCTCATTGTAACAGCATAGAAAATTATTTCCAGCGTGAAAAATTGTTTCCCTAAGATGTAGTGTTATGTGTATTTGATAACTTCATTTAAGTGTTAATTCTTATATTTACTTACTAGTATTATATTCTAATTGTAATGTTATATGCTAAAACTCTTTACTTTTATCTGTTATTGCAGGTTTTTCCTTGGAAGCAATTAGAGAATCTATACTTTCGTGATAGGAAGTTTTCTATAGAAGTTCACGATCCAAAAAGGTGAGTCTTTTTTTAATTTTTTGCTGATTTTTTTTTTTTTTACACTTATGATGTTTATTGGTTATCATGACAGTTGGTATGAAAACCACACAGGATTTTTAAATAAAACTTTTGCATATTTTAAGGGAGTTACTGCAAATATTGTTAAAAAAAAAAAAAGAGGAAACGTCATGTGCTACTGTTTTCAGAAGATTAGTGTAGCATGTTTCAGTGACAGTTGAATAAATTGTTTTTGGAAACCTCACATTCATTGGCTAATAAAGCTTCACATCCTATTGGTAATTGTACCTACTGTCCAGTCAGAATTGAGATTAGAATCAGCTTAAGAAAGGAGGTGTCTCCAACCACTGTTCTATCTGCATGTGCCAATCATATGAAGCAAGACCACCGTTGCCTTGTTTGTCTCTCTTTCCTTCCTTACTTTCTCTTTTCATCTTTCTTCAATGTTGCCTGTAGTTCATTTTTGGTGTCGGAGCCTTACAACTGCACCCTGTTGATCAAGGGAAAACTCATGCAGACCAGATACTGCCAAAAATTCAAGCTATTTTTTTCTCTGCTGTAAATTTTCATCCACTCTGAAAATAATTCTAGAAACTCCTCGTGGGATTTTGTTTTTCATTATTCATCATTGCCACATCTTGGATCTGTATCAAATTGTATCTTAAAAAAGCTTTTCGCACCTCTTGGTGATGGGGTAGATCAGCTGAAACTTATCTTTATCTTCAGGGCGCTAGCATTGGTTGAAAACCCATTTTACGGGAGTTTTGTATCAACAGAGTCAAATAGACGGTTGCATACACTGGACCAATGTTGGAGCTTACTACTGTTGGGGCAAAGGCACTCTGCTGCTGCTATTGTTGTTGATGTTTTTGTTGTTGCTGCTGCTTCTGTTATTGCTGTTGTCATTGTTTTAGATACTTACGTTGTTGTTGTTGTCATTGTTGAAAACAGCATGTCCAGTCCATTTTTCATTGCTGTTGTCCAGAATGGCTAAATTATCCGCCCTCCCCCTCTAATCTCCCCGTCCCCCCTCCCATTCCTTCCTCAGTTTCTGTTCCAAAGACTCCCACACAGTAAAGGCAATGTGGATATCAGAAGTGGGCCAATATCCGGGTTTGTGTTGAGAAAGAAGTTCAACTAATTGGTGATATTTGTGACTTGTTACCATTTCTTGCTGTGCTAGCTTGAATAACTGAAGTGCTTGGGTTACGTCTTGGGACTAGCTAACATTTGTCATCTGTACTTTGTAAGAAATACTAAAATAAGATGAAAATAAGCTTTGAAAAGATAACTCTTCCTAAGATAATACATAACTAAGTCATTTGATTCCATTTAAAGCTATACTTCCATATTTATTGAAGAAAGGGGGGTTGCTAAATGACCAAACTGCTTAAGCTTAATAACTAACAACTAACCATTTGTTTTTTTTGTTTTTTTTTGTTTTACCCTCCTTTTTTAAAAAAAACTTAAAAGGTTGTTATTTAACCAGGATTGTTTAAGTCATATTTAATTCATTAATGTTCTAAAATTAATTCTATGAGCATGAATAAGTAATGTTTACTATAGATTTTAATGAAAATAACTCAAATGTGTTCCTTAGGTACTTTCTTAGTAATAGAAGTATAGGTTCTTTAGGTTTCTTTATAACGTAGAAAAAAGGAAAGATGGATGGAAGAAGTCATGTGACAATACAAGTCATGTGACAGTCACATGATTGGATATTCTTCCCAGGATGAAACTTATCCCCACGTCTCACATTTACACACAGGGCCACCCCTGTAATGTTAAGTTCTTTATTTGTATGTGTCATGTGACAGTCATGTGGTCTACCCAGCTGCTGAGCGTCGTGTGATTATCACTTCATACCTCTGGTCGATCTACTCTGAAATGTCCACTGACTTCCCTTCTCCATTCTTCTCTCATTCTGTATTGTACTCTTCACATTCCAAAAATAGGCACATATTGTTGTAGTCCACTGGACGTTATTGGTCTCCATCTAATTGGTCATCCAGCGAGTTGGACAGTGAGTGAGAGGCACCTCTGACTTCTGAAAGCTATAAAATTATCAGTGAAATACAAGATTGCTCGCACTGTCATTTTGCATATCCATTTGTCCATTTCGTCAGGCTAATTTATCGAGCACTAGAATTTGAATTCAAATTTATACAGTGCTTGGATGTGCAACCTGACAAAGCTAGTGATGTAGGCATTGTATCGCTTGTATTCTCTAAACAAAGTGAAGTGTTTCTCCCTCTGCTTATCTTATCTGAATGTGTATCACTTCTAGTAATTTGTATCATCTGGTGTTATTATCTAATTTTCATACTGAGAGGAAACACGACGTTTTGGATGATTTTGTTGTTTAAAGATTTTTCATTTCAGTACCCAGAAAGTATAATAATTGCTACTATTTCAGTCTTCATTTTATCCAAGATTACACTGTTTAATAGGGCCAAAGATATCAAACAATCTCTACCCCCTCTTAACTTGACAACCAGTGCAGTTCATATTTATCGTAGGATATGATTTTTCCTAGAACTGTTGGGTCACTAAAGAGTTCTACAGACAGAGTCTTAAACCCAACCAGGTTCAGATTTAGATGACATCACCAGATATTTACGTCACAGCTTATTGGTAGCTTTTTCATAGGAAAATGTTGGTTGGACTATTGCTTGTGCTGAGACTAAACTTAGAAAATTTGATTGTCGGGTGGTGTCATCTGAATCCTAGCCAGGAATGGTTTAAGTTTGTGTTTGAATAAACCTGAACATTTAGGTCTGAAATTAGCATATGAACAATATTCATTGACAAAATTAAAAAGCTACACATTGTCTTTTTACTGCAGACAAAGAGAGTAAGTAAGAGTGTCATGAGTGTCTCTTTGTTCTGAGCAGAACTCTCACTTAATATTTATCGTTTCACTGAAATTTTTCATCATATTACATAATATAGAGGTAATTTCCTTTTTATTAATTCATTTTTCATTTATGGTCTGAGATTTTTCATTCTATACTTTCTTCTCACCTATTTCAAATAAGTAAATAAATTTTATTAAAAAAAAAAAGAAAGAAAGCATTCATAGTGCCTTAAAATGTATCTTTGAATATGGTAGCCTATCTCCTTCAATGATATTTCTCATGAAAAACATCTTTTTTTTTATTCCCTGAAAAGAAATTTTCATTTTATTAGAGGTATGTGCATTGCCTATAAGTTTACCTGTTCAGTTTCCCTCTGCTCTCCCTAAAAAGCTATTCACAGAACTTCAGAACTAAAGAACAGATTTTAGAAGTGTACACATTCAGAGATCTAGAGCCAAGCAAGGGATAATATAATGAGATCGGCAAGCTGTGCCTATTTTTGTCATTGTGTTGTGTTTTTCGGTGCAGAATCATACATACGCTCAGCAGTTTCAACTTGTACGAAGACGCCATCCAGGAACCAGTCGACCAGTTTGACGAGCTCTCGGACGCCATATCTGATCCGACAACACAGTAAGTGAAACGTGAAGTGGACTGGGTTGACCATTGGCTGTCACTGTTTTGTTTTATCAGGATATTAAGTTTTTGTATTGGTGGGTTTTTAATGTGTGTTTGTGTGTGTTTCTCTCTCTCTCTCTCTCTTTCTCTCTCTCTTTCTCTCTCTCTCTCTCAATTTGATTCATCTCATACATTGACTCTATAATAATTCGAATATTCCAAACATAATTGCCCTTAAATTCAAGTGTGCACATATGAGCAGTCCAGGCACACACACAAACACATACACATACACACCTGATATAAACCTCAAAACCTGAGTGGGGAGGCCTATTAGATTTGCCTTTCTAAACAAGTTACTCATTCATCATTTGGCAAGGAATTAGAGTAAATGTCAGAGCCAGAATAAGCGAGATTTGTAAACTTTACTTTTCATCCAAAGAGCTCGTTTACAGATTTAATTGGCCAAAGTCTCCATCAGAAGTACCCTCCTCAGTTAATAATTTTCCAGAAGTAGGGCCAAGTTGGTTTTTTTATTGAGCCCATAAGATGAATGACTAAATTCTGCCCACTTTATATTTTTATAATGCCATGCTATACTGAAGGGGTGTAAATTAACTGAAGGACTTACTGCTACATAATATTTTTTTTTATTTATTTAATAAATATAAGATTGTAGCAAGGCAAAAGGTATTAAAAATGTGAAGAAGCTCATTTACTGTGTTTAATAGCAGATAGTTTTGTTAAAGGCTTTGGCCTTTTAACCCTGATGTAATAGACTCAAGTTTTGTGCAGATCGTCCAGACATCATTCAGCAGCCCAATCTACATGGATTTATATTTTCCCTACAGTTTTATTGTGCAGGGTCTCATGGCAGTTGTTTAAATATTGTACACTTGTACTGATTTCACAGCATGTGGTGATGGAATCAACTTTTGGCCATTTGAATTGGGTTTTGTAACCTCTGTTTAATTCATTGGGTGCCATATGCCATGGTATGTTGGTACCAGAGCCAGCCTTATGTTTGTGTGAAGTATCTTGCTCTGAAACAAACTGTGTGAACAGAATTGCAATATATCCAAGCCAGTAATCAAAGCTCTCAAAATAATGGATTACATTTCTTTATTAACCGACCTGACTTCTGGAAAAGGGCAAGAGTAACAAGGTCTTCTCAGTAATTTTCAAGATAAAATGGTCTCAAAGAAGAAATTAGATTTGAAATAACAGATACAGTGTGGTATTTGAAATCTTGGGCTCTCTTTTGGCTCTGGTTATTATTGGTTTCTGGATGGAAAGATAAGCAAAAAGGGAACTTTTTTTATGGGTGGAGTTGCATCTGACATTACTCTCCTTAATCTCATGTTTTAGGCACCAATTATGCTGAAGTTGTATGAGAATCCAGCCCAAATTGACCGAATTGTAACACTGACATTTGCAGAGGTCTTATCTTGTTATTCCATTAATAATGATGTTGAAAAGTGAAAAAAGGGTTATATGTCTCTCTTGGACCTTACAACTTTCATGAGCAATTTTGTTCAGAGATGATAGCGCTCACTTTTGTTATTTAAGAGAAATATTATTTAAGGAAGTAATATTATGAGAAAGAGAAAAACAGCGAGCAAGATTTCTCAGAATCAGTCCCTGTTTTATCAGATGTATATCACAGTTTATGGCAAAAGAATTCTCTTCTAAATAGCATCTGAGAAAATGGCACAAGTTCTGACAGAGTACCCAAACTTATTAACATTAACACGAAATACTACTTTTCTCTCCTTAAAAATGAGATCAAATTAACCAGTGTTTTAGCTTTGCGTTGTATTACTTTCTCATTCAGGGAGCCTGCTGAAATTCGAACTCCCTCTTTTAGTGCAGATTTCAAATTACATTTTTTTTTGTCTGCCACACACATGCAGTGTAAGTATAATTCCTGGAAAATGTTCTGTTTTAAATGTGTACTTGGTTAGTATTGATGTCTCATGACGAATCCTATGAAACCAAAACTTGGCAGTTCTACTGTACAGTTTAAAAAGGATTAAGCTTTTTCTCCCCATTCAAAGCTAGCAAGAGCATATACATTTTATCTCTATTCAATATATTTTATTATATTGGCATGATTTTGTGCCACCATTCTCCTCCCATCAGCTAGATAACAGTTATCAGAAGTCTTCCTAGTTCCAATTGCTGCCAGTTACTTGATAGTAACTGTGGTATTTTTTTTTTTTTAGGCCTCGGTGTAGGCTCGTTCAGACCAAGAATACGTCAGAATTAAGGTTCCTTTAGACCAGGACTAATTAAGATTTAGGTTCATTCAGAGCTGGACCCTGTAACTCGAAAGCATCGCGAATTGCGAATAGCGATATCACATAGAGGCTACAATGTATTATATGGGGCTAGTATGGGTGAGATATGGAACCGAGACGCTTGCCCTCGGTCGCAATGCGGGATGCTTTTGAGTTATTGGGCCCAGGACTAATTTAGATTGATAAAATGAACCATAGAAACTGTTGCTCCCATTTGTTAATATTGATTGATTTTGTCACCATTCATAATTAAAGTGGACAGAATAGCTCTGGGATTCAAGGTTTTTAATACAAGTCGGATAAGGCTGCCTTAAACAACCTTTATCTGATTCTTTCAGAGTGTCAGTGAGTCGTCGCACATTTGGCCCTGGTAACGTGAATGTGTACGCCTGGTTTGCTGCCAGTGCGCTATTAACCAAGACAATATGGTCCATGGCCGTGTGCCAGCACCAGTTTTACTTAGATAGAAAAAGTAGTAAGGTGAGTTTCCTAAAGAACATAAAATGATGAAAATTAGAAAGATGTATGAACACGGGCAACGGTGCACGTGGCCTTGCTTGCTAAAGGAAAGAGGAACGTTTGTTCTCATCTGCAGTGAAGTAACTTTATGTCGTATGACAAACTTTTGTGATTTTATATTTCACTTTTAAAAGCTTTGACAATAACCAATTTCTGTTGTATATTTTTCACATATGTCAAGCGAATAGATTCTTTATTTATTTATTTATTTATTTATTTATTTATTATTTCAGGCTCACCTTCCATTTGTCCGTAGTATGACAGAGCTGGCGGCAGAGATCTCTCAGAGCACGTCCTCTCTCCCGGGGTCGGACGGCTCTTCCTTGGGGATACGGACCAGTAACAGCTGCCACAGTCTGTCCAAGATCTCTAATTCGTCCAAATCAGATCGTAAGTAGTTTGATTGGTGGATGTCTGTGCTGGAGAACAAGCTTTTTTTTTAATTTATTAAGTTTTAGTAGTATTACTATTTTATTTTACCACCAGTGTGAGAAATGGAGGCACACATGGCTTTACCTGAAAATGTTTATAATTATGTTTGTTTTGAAATCGCTCTCAGATTTATGGTGTTTTTTTCATGCCTGTGTGTGTTTAACAGTAATCCGCTCACTGGTCTTATTAGATGCTCTCAGTTTACTGGTATTGATATGCTAGAATTTCCTTTAGCCATGGTTTAGAGTAGTTCTGAAGTTATCTGAGGATAGTTGTTCATTAAGATGCAGGTTACCAACTCATGAAGTCATTAATGAGAGAAAAGAGGTTAATCTCTAAGGTGTGCCTCTCTCTACTGCATGTGATTTTAAAAGACTTACCTAAAACTGATTTTTGTCTGTATAAGTAAATAAATAGTTAGTTTTATGCCTAAGTGATGTACGAAGTCTTGCTAAACAGTATTAAAACCTATTGGATAGGCATTTCCAGAAGCTGTTTCTGCCTGCTTCCTATTTTTCTTGCAAGAATTACACACCCCCCCCCCCCAAAAAAAAAAAAAAAAAAAAAAGTTAGCGCAAAGATAAGAGAGGGAAGCACACTGCACTAATCAACTCTTTCAATCTTTCAATCGTGGTCAGACTAATAAAAATGACTTATCACAAGATGTCCACTCATGTCTGAAAAATTATCAGCAATATTTACTGATACTATGGTTCTAGTATTGCTGTTTTTATCTCTGGTATATTAGAGACCAGTAGAGAGAGATCCAACTGTTCCATCAGTTCCTAGTTATCAAAACAGATGAGTTTTTTTTTTTTTTTTTTTTTTTTTTTCAGCACATTGAGTTAGGATATCCTTTGGAAACATTATAAAAAATCTTCATTTTTTCTTTGTAGTTGAAATATTGTGCATTTGAGTTTATGTATCTGTTGTTGCCATTTTTTAAATGAAATGTAAAATGAAGACATACTGTGCACTGTTTGTGTTGATGAAAAATTAAGATTTTATCATTTTTATTTGCCACATATCTAATTATTGATTTACGGAAAAGTTAACACAATTTCTAGAGATGTACTGTGAAAAAATATTTGTAAGTTCAAAAATAGTATATTTACATATCGCCACTTGTGGGTATAAAGATCTGTATTTTCATTGTAAAAAAATTCTTGTTATCAACATGACATTTTGTTATCAACAGCAAACCCTGTATCCTGTTGTGAACTTCTCAAGTAAGGTTCATTTTCTCTTATCCATGGACTTGGCAATAGTAAATAGTTATGGTACCCAGTCATGGATATTACAAGTAGGGAATTTGAAATACTGTCACAGGGCCCAAAAATTATTGATATTCAAGCCCAAAAATGTTGATTCTCTGAGATGTAATATAGAAGTGGCTAAAAAGGAGATCATGATTAGCTTGAATCAACAGATGAAGTTATGAAATATTAAAAACTCTACTGGAATAGCCTGTCTTGTTTAGTCAAGCTTTCAGAAGCAGAAGTGTTTCTGGAACACGTCGCTCTCTGCTGCATTTTCAAACTTTCCCTGGATAAATTGGATTTTACTGAGCTTCAGCCACTAAATGGATCCTTTGAGTGAATTGGTTGTGTTTACAGTGAGGAGGTTTTTCTTCACATGAATTGGATTAACTTTGGAGTAGCTTCCACAAGGTTTCTTTCATGGAAGATGGTTTACTTCTGCATGGGGATATGAAGACGTGAAGCAATTACAGGCTGTGTAGAAGATGATAACACGTTGACGTTGATTTGAAAAGAATTGGAAGAATCCTTTCCTACTGAAATCATTATTTGAACACCATTATCTAGGATACAATTTATTATATTTCTTATTCTACAAAAAGAAAAAAAACTTGAGTGGAAGTTTCCATTACTGGGGTTAATAACACTGTAGCTATAATACAGCACAATGCCATAGAGAACCTGAACAACAGCCAATGAAAGAATGAAATGTCCCGTTAAAAACATACCTAATAGAGCATTTATATAATACACTGATACCCTTTTGTCAAGATGGAATGATGAATAAGGGAATCCAGTTCAAAGTAATCATAATATTATGATGGATAGTGTGCACAGTTCATAGGTTGAATGTGTGAAAGGAATTTTACAGATAGGATACGCATGATTTGTGTTTGTAAACTTCTTACAGGGATTGGAATTCATAGGTTTTAACTTGGCTTTGGTTGATTAACATACATTCTTCTGTCTCTTTTGCCCATTTATATGAATCTTTCTTGATCAGTTTGAAAAAACAACTTAGTGATTTCTGTGTAACTGATTTAAAAGATTTGTTCCTTATTTTCATGTACTGTGATGATGTAATTCAGTGACATTTTTATTGCATGGCATTTCATATTAATGATTTTTCAAAAGAATTATGTCCTTTCTTGCTCTTTCAGTGACCACTGAGCAACTAGAGATTGCACGTGCAGCACAACGTGATATGTATGCCGCGCTGAAGGCAAGAAAAGAAGCCTTAGAAGAGGCGCTAAAAAAGAAAACTGCCGAATTGAAGCTACTATGCATAAGAGAAGGGGTAAGTAGCCTAATATCTGGTTGTATACTTTTGACTATTGTTTGAGGTTGACCACAATATGATGTGATGGAAACTGACCTTACACCTAGCAAGCTTGTTATTTTTTTGGCACCTAAAGGTATTATATGGTCTTTCTCCCACGTTTTGTAATGGTACACAATAACAGTGAATTAAGTCATATACATAGTACTGTACAAGCTAAATGTTAAAAGCATAGGCGGACCCCTATGAGTATAAATATACAATCATAATTCTACCACCAGCACAAATATTAATACATGGGTACCTAGAAATGATCAAACTATTGCATGTGTGCAGCCTGTGCACATGGTGTATCAGGAAAACAGCGTAATATCTGACATACCCAAAACTGTACTCAGAAATAATAGAACAATGCTGTGTTTTCAGGACCTCACTGGGGAGCTGCCCCCAGAGACCCCTCTCATTCCTGGGGAAATGGTCCCCGTTGTCAGGAAAAGAATGGGAACAGAATTCTCCTTGTCCTCAAGAATTATTAATACTGACAGGGATGAGGTAAGGGCTTGTAAAAAAACACCTTTCTGATTGGCTTATAGTCAACCAGTTGAACACAGAATATTATAAACTTGTCATTTTTTTTTAACCAGCAAGAAAAAGAGCATCAGAAGCAGATGTGGTTGGTCCAGGAAAAAAAGTCACTTATCAATTAGTTTGAGTTTAATGTTTATAACATCTTTGGTATTTTTAGGCTAGAAATGTGGTGTGAAAGTTATGTTTGAGGTGAAGCTTTTTTGTAGATATAATATATTTAGATCAAGTAGTGGCTGGAATTTTTACATTTATCTTATTAAAAGTGATTACAAGATTGTTTTTTGTCTGCGTTGACGTGTTCTGTGAAGTATATATTTAATCACGAAAAAATGTTGAGAAATCAACTGGTTTGACCCTAAACTTTTAATTATGCATCATGCTGCACACTTCACTTTTATCACCCAAATTGTAATACTGAATTTTTCACAGCAGATGTGCATGTACACTTTGAACCTTTCTGAGGAAGAAACTTGAAAAATGCACCACTAAGACAGGTCTGCCAACATATTGTTTCTCAAAATTAATCCTTTACTTTATCATGATCAACAAGAGAAAACCTGAGCACTAATGTTGTTGATAGGCAAATTATTTTCGAGATATATTTTAAAAAAAAATCAAAATTGCATAGAGTTGGCAAGCCTTCTTCTGTCAAGAATTGCGTATATTTACTTCCATTTTCTATTCACCAACAAACTTTCACCGAGTTAGAAATGATATAGATACAGAGGAATAGTAATGACAGTGTTTTGAGATTCAGATGTTTTTACATAAGTATACTTTTCAGGTAACACATTTACAAATTAACATACAATGAAAAGGGAAGGTTAATTTATTAGTTTACTTTCCTTAAATACTTTTTCATTATGTATGATATAGGGAAAATAGAAGGGCCTGGCATAGTTTTGTATATAATATATACTGTGTATAGTGTTTGTGTGTATTTACTATAACAGTGACTAACTGTATGACACATGCTATTACTGGGACAATGGGGTTTTGTATCGGGTAATATTAGCACTTATATTCATAAAAGGACTTAATGTTGGGATTAACCCCAGGGACACCAACTTTGTAGTGGAAATATTGCATAGTTGTAACCACTAATGAGTTTGCAAATGTTTTGCAGGAATAATTTACACAAAAAGGCTGATCATTTAGGCTTTTCATGATAGTAAGAATTCATATATATTCTGTGCTAGAAATTGATGTCTTGGACAGGTCACATTAGAACAGAATTGTGCTGAAATGCCTGATATACAAACTGTAACATTGCTTGATAGAAATGATCTGCAAGGGAAAAGAGGACAAAGTTTCTGGACACATGAATCAAGCTTGTACAAATGCATACTTCATTTGGACTGATTTCCTTTTGTTTGGAAGATAATACCATGAGCTTCATGTGTTGCCATTTTTTTCTTCTGCAATTTCTAGGAGGAAGACGAAGAACTCGCAAAACTAGAATTAGAATTCGAGCTCCAGAACCAGATTACAAATGCAGCACTAAAATTGGCCAAAGACACTTCCGCTGCTAAAAGTGTTCGAAAGAGCCGGAGACAGACATATCAGAAATCTCGAGAAAAGGTTATGGGCCTCCCATTGTTGATTTTATCTTGCTCTAGTTTCTTCTCCTGAAGAAATAGACAACTGGGATTCTTCTGCACTCTTTTAGTTCCATTCTGGTTTGAAATTACCATAGAGGATGAGTACCAGAATTTGGGTCAAACTCTTAATTAGAATCAAGATTTGGCATTACAAGTTAATTTCTGGCAATGACCTTGTATTTGTCATTATGGAAATACTTTCAGTGTGGAAAAACAAAAAAAAGATTTTATGTGGTAGTCTAATACAAAATGAGTACAGATAAGACTGCCAGTGAAGAATTAAATACAAATGTTTTACTTTTTAATATAACAGAAGGGACACAGAGAGTGCACACAATGAACCAGTGGAACAAAAAAAAAAAAGTTTTAAAATTGTTGCTTAAAAAGCTGGTTTAATGGTGCTGTCGGAAAAATTAGTGAACAAGTGATAATGTGGTAAATGAGAAGAAGGAAAGTCACAAGGCAAAGATATAATAGAACCTATATGCATGTCTCCCCATGCTACTAATTGTCACTATCGTAATAGAGAATGCTGCATGCATATTTCCTGCTAGTTTGTGCAATTCAGCCAGGTGATTAAAAGTATTTGGCATGGGAATTAATTAAACAAATATCCGTATCTACCACTGTGTATCTAAGCATGGGTAAATAGTAAAACATTTGTGTTTTTGCTAATTTTTTGTGAACCATTTTTCATTCAGGGGGAAGATTTTGTTTCATATTTCCTTTTTTAATGTTTCAGCTCCAGGATATTGAAAAAAGGCTTAACGAGATGAAGTACAAGAAAGGCCAGGCCCTAGTCAAGCATCACCAGCCGTCCTTAGATGGTATGCGCATATTTCAGCTTTCAACCAGAAGTAGTAGTATGAAAACTCCTGCTCACAATTTAAAAAATTGTCAAGGTTTTTATAGTTTATTGTTATAATTATTTTATCTTTCTTTCATTATTTGTAGGCTTGATCACTCTGATATGTGATTTTAATGACAATTTTATTATAGAAGTGGTATTGTGGAATTATGATCAATTGCAATGAACATTATATTTTCACTTTATTTTTAGATGAAAGCATTGGCACAGCAGACAGTGGTAAGTTTTCACTTTACTGACAGCCATGTATTACATATTTATATAACTCCCAGGGTCATCCATAGTGTTACAAGATCGGAAACAAGCTAAACAGACTTGGCTCCTTCAACACAATTGGAAAGATGGGTTGAGATGGATTTGTCTCATCTAACGCAATGGCATTGATGCTATGAGACATCTGTCTTCCTCAGCATGTTGGCAGATAATTTTCATTTTTTTTATGCATGTCAGAAGAAAAAAATACATTGAATAATATATCTGCTTATTAACATTGCATGAACATGTATATATTATATACCCAAGATAATACTGTTGCATGCCGGTAATTATATTGCTGAAATGGATATTTGGGAAAAGTGGTTTTAATTCCAAAATTAGTTAAATCATAGAGCTAAATGGTTTCATTTGGTGCAAAAGAAAAGATTTAAGGGGAAAAAAGCAAGGTGATTTATTCTGATTACTCTGATATAGAAATTTAGCTTTTTAGTATCTAAACATTTTTTCAACCACTCTTCCCTATGTCCTGAAACTTATATTAAATAAATTTCTATTGCTTGGGATCTCCATGAAGGGAGACAGAGGGACAACAAAGTAGTGCATGATTGTTTTAATTTAAGTTTCACTAGATCGCCAGAGTATAAAAAGTGAAGCCAAAAGTGACAGTGCTAGTGATATTAGTGCCAAAACACAGGAGTCCGAGAAGTCCGCTGGTCTGACTTCCCTTTCGCGACTCCAGGCATCAGTCGCCAAACCTTCTAGTTCAGACTCCGATAAACCTCCAAGGCCTCCTAAAACATTCCGACTCAAAAATCTCAAAGATATATTGGAAGAGCCAGAGAGTGGGACATCAAAGAAATTGAGTCCTGTGAATCTTACGAAGCCTCACTCTGACCAGAATATGGCGTCAAAGGAGAACAGTGGAAGTTATTCGGTTTCTGCTGCGCTGCTGAGTAAAAAGAAACATGGGGGCAATGACACAGCAAAGACTGTCAATGCTACAGTGGTTGACGCAAGTGATAAAGAAAGTTCTAAAAGTAGCTCAAAGACAGGTGACCTTTTTGAGTTGGCGTTTGAAGTGGCTTTGGAGTTTGCTTTCATGATTCAGGGAATAGTTGGGGATTTTGAACCTGAAATGTAGAATTTAGGTGGCATTGCTGTGGCTTGCTTTCAGAGCACCTTATATTTCAATCTGCACTTTTCTTCTCTGGTATTGCATGCAGCGTATGTTGCCATTTGAGATTGCCTACACATGAATTTCAACACTGTATTCCTATGAAAGGAAATAAGTTTGGTGTTTGTTTGAACATTAATTCATTGACTCTCTTTTATCACAAAATTTGTTTTTGTGTGAAAAGTTTCACTTTTTGTTTGATGTGTGGTGGCAGAAATTATTGAGTAAAAACAGGGTTGTGTAAAGTTCTTTGGTTGATTTAGAAGTGGTTTCTCACAATTTCAACATCAGCATCAGGATTTTGAACCTCTAACTTTAGCTTCAGCGCAAGAATGCTTTAGATACGTAGTTATGGCTCATAATCAGCGGGCATTTAAAGATGGGCTGGCTTATTTGAAACAATACGCTTGAATAACATAATTGTTTTTACAAGTTCCACTTGTTGAGATGATATTTTGAATTTGATGTTTTAGGATGGTAAAGGTCAAATCATTTATTTTTGAAGCAACAATATAAAATCGAATATTTATTGACGAACAATATGAAAATGAAATTTTGCGAAATATATATATCCATGCATTTTAGTATTTTATTAATTATATTTCTTGCTGGATAACATAAATATATATATATCATATTGAACTAACACCTTTCGTCTTTTTAACTTCAGAATCAGAGTACCCATCACCATTCACGTCTCCGGCAGTGCAGAGAGTACACAAGGACCATCCTAAGGTTACAGTCATAACTTCTCCTAAAGTAAATATTTGGCTTGTGCATGTCCCCTGTGTCCCAGGTGTCACCTGTCATGAAAAAATTGGGGAAAGGGGGGGGGGGGGGGTGGAGAAAAATTGTGCTGGGGACTTTTGTCGAGTAAAGTCCTTTTGATATTGTATTCGGTACTGTGAAATGTATGGTAAGCTATTATCATATATCAAAGATATTTTTTCTTTCGGAAAAATTCACAAGCCTTTGTTGCTAAAATTGATATTTTAGTCTGCCAGCCTCTTTCACGAGAATGTGATAATTCTTCACATTATAATGTGTGTTGTTTTGGAACATAAAACTGACATTTTGAGGATATATATATATATATTAACAAAATATTTTGACAGGTGACACTTGAGGCACCATTTGTGACCATTGACTGGTGTGTACATGCCTAGTTCTATTTTATTTATTTATTTTGCTTACATTTTTTCTTCTCTGGGAGAATATTTTACTGCAATATTTGAGAATTTAGAGAAAAGACCTGTTTACTTATCAGGTCAGAGGGTAAGTGTAGTACACACCAGTTCAGTGGCACAGTTCTACATCCTTGCAACCTTCATTGCCATCATGGTCTGTTTTATTTAGTGACATTTGTATTAATTATATGGTTTTCATATCATTAACTGTTTGCCTCCATTACTACTATGGGCTGAACTAAACAGAAAAAAGGTTCGTCTTGTAGAGGTGATTTATCTATTTATTTATTTTCTTTGTTTATTATTTATTTATTTTTCATTGGGGCTGAATGACAAGTTGACTTTTTCCTGGGGGGTGGGGGCATGCTTAACCCTGCTAAAGCAACTATAGATGTGGCATTTTCAGTTTGTAGACTGGAGCTTTGCTAAAACTGGCAGCAACAATTTTTTGTCTGCTAGACAATGTCAGTTTTGCTATTTTTGTCTCCTGTTTGTGTGGCATTGCATATTGTAATTGTGGTAAATGCAGGAATGAATATTGGCATTATATGCATATTTGGATTATACTAGGCTTTAGGCTATCATAGCACAAACTGACATGATTTCCATTTTGGTCGAAATTATATTATAGATCATGAATGTTTCAGTAATTTTTTGTACCTTTTGCTTTGACCCTTTTAGATCACTGATAAATGACATTTAATAATTCAGTCAGGTTTTGTTAGTTTTCCATATGATTTAGCTAAGAGCAAATAATGGCCTTTTGAAGAAAATCTGTTTCAGCATTTAGTAATGATGGTAATACAGAGCTAGGTAATATTTCATTTTTCCTCATATCAATAGCAGAAAGGATAATAAAGATAAATGATTAAAAATACCAGTCAATGTGTAGGTATATCGATAGTTATTCCTGATGAAATACTTCATTTTAAGAATAAACTATAATAGCATAAATAGATAAGGTGGAATAAATAGCAAAATTAATATGAGGAATGTGGATTATAAAATGTATGCCCTCAGTTAAGCTATATGTAGTTAAGCTCATATCAATTCATCTCTTTACAAACTCCATAAATAACACTGACATTAATCTCTGTATTACCATGGCCATTTTACAAGTTAATCATAATGTAGGGATGTTAATATTGGTAATATCTAGAGCACATGGGCCATGCAAAAGATACCTGTAGGCTATAGTACTGTTCACACTCAGAGCTTCCAGAACATTTCTCTGCCAGCTTTTGAAAGCTTAATCAGAATTATTAGTGTTGATTGCAGATTACTGTTGGGTCCACAGCATGTGGTCCAGTAAGTCAAAGGTATATTGAATGAATTTTACACATAGTTTCATATTGTGATGGATTTGAAGTGATTAGTCTTGTCCAATTTAAGAACTAGTTCTGAAACAATTGTATCTGTCTGCAATCTGAGAAAAAAATTCAGCACAAACCAAGCCCATATGTGATGCCCCAAGGAGTGTTGTTCTAATGGCCATGGTATCACCCTGATGAAGATAATTTATGATCAAGGAACAATAGCTTTGGTGCAGTTATAGCATTTTGATGATCGTTAGTTTCTCGTTATCACTAGGAAACAGGTTGCAAAAGACAACATAAATAGGGTTGTTTTTAATATTATATGAAGATCATTAACGAACGAAAGTTGCTGCATCCATCTCATTTTATTTGTTCATTTAGTAAAAAATGTGACAAATGGTTAATTGACCATTTCCTTTGACAAAACTATATCCCCTTTAAAACCTTTGTCAACATATGACCTGCTAATATGATGTAGTGTATGTGTTTATTTATCATTTTGGTAAAGTACATTCTTATTCGTTGCATTTAATGAACATAAATGAGGATAGAATGTCCCAATTAGAATTCAGGTATCTGCTGAGAGTCATTTATCTTGACAACCACTGGTGGTGTACAGACAACACCCTCATGGGGGACTGTCTCAAAAGGTCAAATTACAGTTTATAATTCCTTGAATGTTGTCTGTCAGAGAAATAAATGTGACAAATTTATGCATGTATGGCCAACATTTAAAAAAATGTAGAAAGGGAAAAATAAGAGATAAAAAAACTCAGATGCATTCAGACACAAAGATGTTGAAAACAATTAAAAAGTTAATGATCAATTCTAATCAACAGCATTTCTTCCAAATTTGTACACGCTTTAGTTAAATGAAAAATACCAAAAGAAAAGGTGATAAACATTTTGTGATGGTCCCTTGCAGTATGGTGTGTGTATGTTTTAACTGCCAGCATGCAATAGTGGAGATATATGCATGCAGAATAGCATGGTAAAGAAGATATATACAGACCACATCTCCACATCTGCTAGAAGCATGGCTATGTTTTTTACCATAACAAGACTTCACCAGGATAAAACCAGTTTAGGAGTATGTATATGATAAAGTGCATGATTTTTTTTTAAGTTCAAGTATTTCATATAAGCAAGTTTAAGGTCGTATGTTAAGTATTTCTTTTCATGTTGTGATGTGATATAACTATACATTGATCATGCAGGTATTAGTGACATGTTGTAACATTTGGTGCACAATTTGTGATGATATTTTGACTTTTTTGGAAAAGAAAGTTATTCAGTTATGACTTGGTTGATTGTACAGTAAAGGCGGTTAAGATTTTGCCACTTGGGTATGATCAGACAGCTGCAGGTTATTTGTCACAGATAAAACAAATATGCAGAGATTATTCTTTAATAATTTAGGTGTGACTGCCAGATGACTATGTAATTTCAATTATATCAGTTGTACATTCACAGTTTTAAAAAAAATACACATGTAATAATGACATTTCGTGGCTCAAAATGATGACATTGGGTGATGTGAATCCACCTGAAAAAGAACGCCGTGTCAAAACATTAATAATAAATGTAATGACTTTTAATACATATTTTGTTTACTCATGCCCTGAGTGCATTAATATTTAAGGGAAGGTGACCAGCAACTTTGTCATGTCCACATGCAATGTTTCCTCAGTAAATATCACTTGTGTTAAGAACAGATAACGTGATATATATTATGGAAATACCTGAGCCAGTGCCATATTGTGACATTAAACCCATGTGTGGTATGAATTCTGATATTTCCCTGTGTTTAACAATGTGACTTGCTATTTAAAATATGTCACTTATATTTTACATTTACAACATCTGTGGAGTAGACATGTAATATACTTAATTTCAGATGAGTTGACATAGATTATTATAGATAGCCTAACACCTACTAACTTATAGAAGGGTAGCTTACATATAATTTCGGTTGTTTTAAAAATGCAAATTGTGTGATATTGCTGTTTTGATTGGTGTAGAATTATACATAATAAAAGAAAGATTAAAAAAGTATATGTACAATGGAAAGGTGTTTAATGAATTATTTGCTTAGAATTAATTATTTTTTCTTTAATAAACAGGTGGAGATAGTTGAAGTAGAACACGGCACACCTCCGCGAGAACACAAGCGCCCGTCAACGCCCTCGTCACAGTCCTTGACCTCCATGGAGTCCCAGGGGTCAGGAAGGTCAGGGTCATACTCCCAGAGGTCAGCGTACTCCTCACCATCAGCCAGCCCCCAGAGGCAGCCCAACTACCCTAGGGGGTCTTCTCCAAGCCCTAGACTGGGAAGGTAGGCAAGGGTGTGTTTGGGGGAGGGGGGTTGAAGGTAGAGGATCCCCTTATAGTAGCTAGGAAAAGGTAGATTTAAGATTTATATTAAAGTTAATTAAGGTTTGGGATTTTCTTGGTAGTCAGTGTCTGCCAGTTGTAGCCTGTCCTGCCTGGGAATTGTAATATCTTTCAGAGCAGTCATGTTAATTGCACTTAAGGTACTTGCAATTTCTTAGACTGCTGCTGTTCATTAACTTCTGTTACTATTACCATGGAAAATATCACAAATGCTTTCGCAATTAATCATAACACAGTCTGTTCATGTCTTTTTTCCCCTTTTGATTGATATGAATGAAGATTTATAGTAATTAAATACATATAAGAATTTAAAAAAAAATTAAAGTAAAATTTTAAAATTTTTGTCATTGTATTTTTAGGCAAGGGTCCAAAGATGTAGGCTACACTCCTAACACAGTTTATTCCACCAGAACACATTACAGAACACTACAATACCCAACCTTCAGTTCACGGGTCAACTCCACCTCCAGCAACCTCTCCGAGTACGATAACTTGAGTAGTACCTCAACACGAGACTCCTCGGGAGGACGAAGTGCACGTTACGAAACAAACGTTGACTCTGGGAGGACGGTGCCCATGCACAATATGTACAACGTGAACACCGGTAGCACCGCACATGCGGGACATTATCAGAGCACAGATGAGTTGAAGGGTGGTGGCGAGGGGCTGTACGGAGGAGGGGATAATTCTAGTGTAGGGAGTGACGATAGGGGCGGATTTCCAGCTCGGCATAACAGTTTAGAAGGGACCTATAGACGAGGAAGTAAGGAATATCCCAGATATGGAAGCCTAGAAAGGAATGTCAATACATTTACTAGGCAACAACAGTACTATCTTGACCAACAACAACAGCAACAGCAGCACCAACGACAGGAGGAAAATTTACCGGAATTGACCCCATCAAGATTTGGTAGCAAAAGAGACTCACATTCAGATTTTGGTGACTATTTTGAGCGGGATCGTCCTGTGCATAATATGCCCCATCACCATCACCAACAGCATCATCATCATCATCATCAGCAACACAAGCAGCAACATCATCATTCGTCCCATCCCCACCACCAACAACATCAGAGGTATAGTAATATTGAGGAGAAAAGTTACGGAGCTGCAGAGGCATCAATTCCCTACATAGACTCAAACGGCCATCGGCATGAACCGAGGCAATGGTATGAGACCTCAGAATCTCCACCATCTTTAAAACATCGGCACCACAGTGGCAGTGACTCACCACGCTATGAGAGCCCACTACAGCCGAATGTCAAACATGACATTATGAACATCTCCCGGGATATTCAGCAAAGACTTTCTGTAGAAAGAGAGAAAAACCCAGAGAGAAATGAAAATAGGACTAATACAAAAGGGGCGCCAGAGTCCCCAAAACCCGTCATGACTGTGACAAAATTCCGCCCATATAGGGAAGTGACAAAACCATACGAGTTGTCAGACTTTTACAAGTATAGTGAAAAGTTACGACGGCAGCGGAGTAACGAGAGCCCAGGATCACAGAGCAGTGGCACGCCGCCACACTCGGGGCAAGAGCCACATAGTCCAAGGTCACCATATTTATCACAACGCACACCTCATCACCAGGGGGCAGCAGCTGCAGGAGGACAAGGGGCCACTTACTCTGAGGGAGGCTATGACAGGCCTCCCCTCAGTCCAGCATCTTACGAGACAGTGCGTGAGCGCGGGCTTGGCTCGTACACAGTACAGAGTCACCAAGCACCACGCTATCATACGCAAACTGCTGGTTACCATTCACAAAGTAGCTCTTCACGACAGGTGCAATATACAGCACCGCAGCCAATGAAATGCGAGCCTGTGTTATCACCACCACCAGATGGCAGCAACAGTAGTAGTAGTGGTGCTCGTAGGTCAGTACATTACCGCACAATTAAACCAAAGCTACAGTCTGAGGTTTAGATGTTTTTTTGTAGGTTGACTTCATAATTTATGGTCAGGGGTTTTGTAATCAATACTGGTCTGAGATTTAGATAACGTGAAATACTTAATATTATGATAAATCTCTGGCTTAAGGTTTGACAAATTTCCCCAACTGGGCTCTCACTAGATTCTTATAAGCAACAGACATTTGATTACTTTTTACTGAGTAGGATGTAGTTTTTTTTTTTCTGAAATAGATCGAAAAGCTGCTGGAGTGAATCCAGTAAATATAGATAATTCCTCACATTGTGACCTGTACATATTGCTCAGTGATGCCATGTTAAGTGCTGCAGCACTTTGACCAGAAAATATTTAATTATTTTGTATGAAGTAAATCCATTAGATGTGTTATGTTATGAAACAATTGTCATGGAATTGGTTTGTTACTGTGTCAAGAACTAAGTGTAATTGGTTGAGGTTGAGTGCAATTGGGTCATCTTGGTTTGACAATCTTCGTCTTTTAAATGAATGTTCCCTGGAGTGATTGTAATAATTTCATTTTTCTTGGTGTGATAAACAATTTTGATTGTTTTGTCCAAGTGATCTATGTTGATGGTGCGATTCACAGATGAAAGTTTCCGTGCCTTTTTGACATTCATTTGTTCAATTAACAGGATGCACACATTCATTATCTTCAAATTTGTCTTCTTATTATTCTTGTTGGCACCAGGCTCTTCTTTTATCTGTTTATAAAGATGCCTTTACAGATCTTTCCTTCTTGAAATAACAAGATCGAGTAATTCTCTCTATAATACATATGTCTTGTGGTCCAACAGTCTCACTCTTCTTTGCAAACTTATTTCAGAATTTAACTTTCAAGGATCTCTCTTATTTGAAAATGACACAGAGCTGCGTCCAAATCACAACCAGGAATGGCATGGAGCATTTTGGTAGTGCTAGCATATTGTATAGACTGATTATCTTAGTCTAACTAGAAAACCAACTGACATGTTTAAGGCGGTTGGCAGAATATTTAGTGGCATGTGAATTCGATGAAGAATAAACATGCAGACGTGCACATTTTTTTCATGATGGACCTCAGTTTTGTGTCCACTTGTTATGTCATTAGGACCATTACATTCCTTCAACAATTCTTCATCCTAAGAACCTTTCAGTGTGGCCAACATATTCTGAGTGGAACTATACCATGTGAAAATTAGGAAATTTATAACACTTTGAATACTTATTGGATCCATATTTCTTAGGCAGTTGTCTGTGCCACTCTCCTTTCTACTTTTGCCATTCTCAGATTGTGAAAGGCTGTCTTTCATATACTTGACCATTTAAAACTAACTTACCTCCCACATTGAACAAAAGATAATTCCAAGACCATTTTTCCCGCTTACTTGCTTTGTGGAACCTTACTAGACAAAATGTCAGTGGACAATTTTGTAAAGAAATGTTATTCTTTCTTCAACTTATATTTATATATTCTGTGATACAAGACTACTTCTCTGGAAGGGCTTATCTTGGCTGGTGTTTCTTCTCTGTATGTTGCTATATTTTTTTTATTACATAACCGGTATGCAAATGCACTATAACCATAACCATGGCAACCAAAATAACCATGGTGAGCACTTGCTGCAGTATTTGTATGTTGTATAATAATCAGTATATTTATTCATTTATTATTTATACTCAACACTGCTTCAAATTTGCCACAAACGGACTGATAGCTGGCGGTGTGTGTTGGTGATGTGGACTGGGGTTGTTAAATATTACTAAAGGCAATTTTCACCATATCACTATCTAATATGGTTTACACAGCCTTCGTTACAAAAAAAATTTTTTTTTTCAACTATTTTGGCAAATGTCCTGATCTTTGGAATATGATTATTGTCATATTTCAAGAGGAAAAGGGTCTGAGATTATTTGTTATAGGGACACACCATCATGGAAATTGTCACCCAAATTTTCCCACGTTCATTCTTGGCATGTCTTACAGGTTACATTCCGACTCCTCTGAATTGAACCCGCCTTCTAAACTCGTTAGCCGCGATGCTAGCTTCACTTTTGATGCTGGCGAGAGTTTAGCCGAGGCTTTTAGTGAAGAGATGCTTGCATGGTATGAGGATCAGGATAACACTATCAAACCTGCCACTATTGTATGACACATGCATAGATGGCGCTAGGTGAGAAGACAAACTGGTGTAGAAGTGGGTCACATTTTTGGATAGAAAAAGTGTGAAACTATCTAGATATTGTGGAGTTGCAATTCTTGTTGTGTCTTACTAAACTAGCGCTGAGCACCCTGTGTGTAGAGGGAACTTCTTCACCATTTATGGCACTCACATAATAGTTAACTAAGGGGTGTTGTGTTGGTTTGTCATGGTTTCGCTTAAAACATATCCACTGCTGCTTTATTAACTGCTTTTTTATTGCCTCGCTTCGTTGAACCTTTGGTAATAAGAAGTAGGAATTATTGCAGAAATTGAAACTAATCAATCAAACCAAAATGAAACTGATCAGTTTTTAGTAAAGATGGATTCGTGCCAATTGAGGTGTGTAAGTACACCAATAGATGACGCTGTGTGCATGTCATCATTTGAACTTGAGATTAGACATTGGTTAGATTGATTGGTCAACTCTGCTCAGATGGTGTCGATAAGGGAAACTGCATGTTACTAGGTACTTTTACCTGATGCACTAGTGAAAGGGTTTTAAACTAGTTTTCTACATTTTTCATATACTTAAAATAACATTTGATATTTTATACTTGAAAATCACTAAACAAAAACATCTGAATATAAGAAAAGTTGCAGTTTTGGCCTTATGAACCATTGCCTCTAAAAAAGGGAAATTTTAAAGGGAAATGGATCTTTCCTCATTAAATAATAAGCACAGTTAAGCAATTTGTATGCAAAATACTGACAAGTTTTATTTTCAAAATGTTCAATTTAAAAAGTGCAGTGTATTTTACCATTTCCCAATTTCCATGAATTTGAATCATTTCCCGATTGAGAACACTAGTTTACCACATGGTAATTGAAATAGCTACATTCATGCCAGTTAGCATGGGTAGATTGGGTAGGAAATAAAACTAACACCAGACTTCAGCTGAGGCCAAAAGCTTCTTCGGAGGGCACCAAGCTGGTTTCTGGCTGGTAAGTACACAGTAAAAATGAAAGGAATAGGCTGAAACATAAAGTCCATGCAGATCCCTTCTCAAATATATTATTAGAATCCATACAAAATGAGTGGGTAAGGCACAGTTTGTTTCCCAACATTTTTTTTGGTGTGTTCTATTTTTTGAAAGGCCATGACCTCAAATCTTCATACTTGTAGCTCTTTTGGAATGAGATATATTTGGTTCAATACGTTGCTGCGTGGATGCCAGTCTCATTTACAATAGAGATGAACAGATTTGTAAGTTGTGAACTTTCAAAAATATGGACTACCATGTTTATCCCCTTTTAAGCTTAGCTTCTGTTGCTTTCATGCTGCTTCAAGGCTCTCCACTGTACAGTTGTCCATTGTCTGTTCTGGTTTTGTGGTGTTTTGTCTAATATTGCTATATAGAATTGGCCGCCATTCCAATGTCATCTTTAATCCTTTTCACACTGGTTTTTGCTGTTGTGATTTTGCACTGTAAAGCTATCTAATGTACCTGGCTCTTGGTTTAGAAAATCTAAGTATATAAGCCTAGACTATAGGTGGCAGGTCAGTCTCTGGACAGTTTTCAGCTTACACTATAGGTGGCAGCATAATACCCAAGTCATTTTGCTTACTATAAGAGGTGGTAGCTTAATCCAATATAGCAGAGTATTAATTAATCACATGTTCACTTTGTTTGGGAGAAGGTACTCATTTACACTTTTATTTCACATTTCTTTCGTTGTTTCATGCATTTTTGTTTATACCCTCTTATTTTCCTTCCATAAATGCCTTTGGGCAAATTATGTGTTGTCTATTTTTTGTTCTTTTATTATGTTTCATTTTCATTATTTCTTTGTTGTTATGCATATATTTCATCATTCATCCATTATATATATGTTGTTATAAATGTTTGTGCTAAAGAACACAACTGCTCTGCAAATATCTGAAGAGAACATTTTGGAATCAATTTATATATATCAAGTGTTCATGAAATTTGTAGTAGTAAACTGTTTGTTGGTCATTCACATTAACATCCTATACTTTTGGACCTGGTATTAATTCATGATACCATATAACAAGGATATATGCAAAAGAAAATTTTGATAAAAGAAAAAAAGTTGTGTTTTTAGCACAAATGTTTGCTATCCTACAGATTTGCTGGTAGTGAGCTGATTTTGTGTTTATGTTGCATTTTATATGACCAGGGATTTGTTCCATTATTTGAAATTTTAAAATGGCATTATTATGTGCAAATAAACATAACAGCATTTTTTTTTCATAAATTGTGACTCTATCCTGTGTATCACTTAATTATAGTTTTTATACATGATTTTACATGGATATAAAGTCATAAAATTTGTCAGTGAGTTAGCTTAATAATACCATTTTAATTAGATCTTGTATAATATCACTTTGTGATACAGGGTTAATGCTGCACAAAAAGGACAGATACACATATTGTTACTAATGACTTCTATTTAATCATTTTGGCAGTCAGTTTTGACCGCTGTTGAAAGGACCAAAAGGAATACTGAAGGAAACATAATCAAAAATGAAAACAATGAAAAAAGCAATTTAACTCCTATCAACTGTCAAGATGTTTTAACCCTTTATCATGTGAATCTTCATCATACAGCATGGGATGAAGTTAATTTCTATATATTCTTTATACATTTCAGATGGTCACCTTAACCCTATAGCTGCCTCCTTAGGAATGCATAAATGACAAAACCAATTCAGGCTTGGTTCTCCTTCTGTCAACTTGGCTTAGCTCCACCCACTCAAGACTAAGCTCCGCCCACACCTGCTAAGCACCACCCATACAAAGATTAGCTCCACCCACAAATATCTGCCATTACAAGGATTTGTGCTATTTTTTTCACCTACCTAGCAGTTGCATGGATAAAGCATGGCAGGCAGGTTTTGTGAAAGTATACTGCACTGATGGTTTGGCATGCAGGGGAGTGTATTTTTGGAAATGTGCCACTTGGAATTCCAGATAATGCTACTATAGCATAAAAGTAATTTCTGCACCTGTAGATTTTTTTCTGTTCTGTGACTTAAACTTTAAAGAGGGGTGAAATGAAATCAAACAAATTAAAGATGCATGAAAGCTCTAAGATTTCAACATGGTTCTTTCTCGTGTGTTCCATGAGTGCACTTCAATCGTAACAAGATATGCCAAGACTTCAGGAATTCTCAAAATGATCAACTTAAAGGAAATCGTGAATTTGCTACAGTTACTTATTTGCTAGTGTCACCTCTGTTCTTGTACAAACCAAATATGTCTTATGAAAGTGGGACCAACTTTCATTTTTATTTGTGTTGTATAATTTTGAAAAAAAAAGCATAAGATTGAATACCTTTGCAGGCAGTGGCGTTTTAGAGCGTCCGAACTATCGGTATGCCCTCTATGTAGGCATACAGCGTTGTTAGGCTTGTGGCTGCTGCTTGATGTAGGCGAATGGCAAACGAGACGACCTCTCACTTATTCAGGGTATATCGTGTTTTAAGTCATAAATTGTACGACAAGAAACTGTTTTATTACGTATGGTTAATGAGCCAACTGACACGGAAGTCCGAGTTGGTCTTTTAAGTTATTATTATAACGTTATTCTAAAGCAATGAAGTTGTAACTATTGATTGTAATTCATTGTTTTGTATATATGTGTATGTCAATTCATTTAGTTCACTGATAGCTTGTGTATATCACTTTATCGTCAATATAATTTTATCATTTGTACTGTGTACCAGTGAAAAGTATGCTATTGCTGCAGTAAAGAATGATACAACCCTACCATTGTGTCTTTTGCTGTTTTGGAAAACATTTTACAATTGTTTTGAAAAAGGAGCTGGTCGGGAAATTGAGCAAAGAATTCACTTTGGACTGGTCAAAAATGGTCTAGTTCTTACCATAATTTCTTACCGGTTACCAAACCCCGCTAAACTCAACAGAATAAATTATACGTTTTCAAGAGAAATCTTTAATAAAAAATCTACGCGGATTCTTTTATCTTATTCAATATACAATGAATTTTCAATATCAAGTTATAACTCGACTCTGAGAACAGTTTAATTTTAAAGCAAATTCGGTTAAATCAGTTGAATTTTCTCAGATTTCCAGCCTCATGAGAGAAAATGGCTTAAAAGTGAACATCTTCGAATAAAAAGCAAATATTAATAAAAATGCCAGTATGGCGGAAGTCCACAGAGACAGCTGGTGGTACACTAGGTTTACTAATATCTCAACGTTAACTATTTAATACCAGCTTTTCAAAGAATCTCCAATAGATGACCCTAGGTAGCGTGTGGAGCAGTAGGTAGAAATACACGTCTGTCGGCATAACTAACATTACAATTAACTTGATACAGAGTTTGAGGGTTGAAAAAGTGCAACTACGGAGACAGAATCCTGAATTATTATGATAATCAAACACCTACAAACAGATGTATCAAAATTAATTGGCCAGTGAAAGAATGTTCTGTCCCAGTCACGGCCAATATTTGGAACTATTTTATCAGACCCACAGTCATCTCTGATCATTGCGTATCACGATAAGCAAATTGGTGTTTTGGTCTGGTTGTTGCTGTTCAGAAAGGTAAAGTTCAGTTTGTCAGTCTGTTTCGTAAGCAATATGATAATAAATATTCGTCGGACTTCGGACTTTTTATTGGGATCGATTCACAACGTTTCAGTTTATGTTTGACAAGTATATGTGGGTCAGAAACCCTTGTCTAGAATGTTTATTTTAAATGACGCAGTAAAGAGCTTGCGACTACTTCGTGGTGTTGCCCGGCTTTTAAAAAGCAAAAAAGCCTTCGTGACGTCGTTTGTTGCAGGTCATAATTTTCATGTTTTTGCTTTATTTAATCCATGAATAAAATTTTCAGTTACAACCTTGATAAGCAAGACGATTTGGTGACAGGGCACAGTCGAATGTTTAATTTTACACGAAATATGCTCAATTTAAACTGCATTCGCTTAAAAAGTAATTTGGAAATCTTCATTGCCAGGCATTGTCAGAAATATACTTGAAGTACGTTACAAATTATTTTATTGCACAGTAATGAAATTATAACTAATTGACTGGTAGGGCTACTTCCGTCCTCGTTATACTGGTGTAACAGGAATGGAAGTCTGCTAGGAACCGTAGTCCGCTTCCCATTACTCTGTACAGGTGTCATTCGTCCCACGTACTTACCCCAATACCTCAACTAATCCTACGCTGTACTTATCATATGGGAGCCCGGACTTCAGTTCCTAGGACTTCCATTAATTCCTGCCACACCGGCTGTCTCTGACGTCTGCGATGGACCTACGAAATTTGCAGCACATATAAGAAATTATCACGAACTGTGTTCTAAACATTGACCAATAAGAAGCTTAGCTTGCCTCATACACGCCCATCAAATGACATGAACTAACTAATCATGTAGAGATACAAGAATGACGCGTCGTGCAATATACACAATGAAAACTAATCATAAACGCATGGCTCTAACGGCAACAATCGAACTGTTTCATTTGTTTGAATGAAAAATCTGTAATAAAACCATAAAGCAGAAACTGTACGTAGATGTTCGCGCCGAGATTGCTCGGTTTTTCTTGAGATAGTCACCATTCGGCCTCCCCTGGAAGACACACAAAATAAAAAAAAAAACAAACAAACAAACATACGAACAAACGGGACCAAAAACAACCTCCTTGTCAGCAGACAGAGGTGATAAGATACTGTCAATTATATAACAATAATTTAGAATAATATTCGTTTAAAATTAACACACGCATTTCTTATTTTGGGCTTGTAATTGCTGCAATGGGTCTATGGGTGTTTTTAAGTGCGCAAGTGCGTGGATTTTTTTCCTGTATTATCTGCCACCGACTGCTGTGTGTTATCTTGCCTATTGTGGCGAAGAAACTTACCATGTAGAACTAACTTACGACAAACAGAAACGATAATGTGCCCATACCTCTTAAAGCTACTGTTTCTTGTTTCACAAAGAATATAAACACTTTATTGCTTCTTACTGAAAAAGCTTTTGAAAGTATTAATGACAGGAAAATAACGAAAATAAATTAAATCAAAGAAATGCAGACCTCTGCACACTGAACAAAATAGAAAAAGGCATTTTTTCTATCTGTAAAGTTAACTTCATAATAAACGTTTCATTGACAAATGATGCAACTACAATACTCAAGAAGATTGTGCAGTTGTAAATGCAAATGGTTACTTACAGTTACTTAAAACAAAAACTACATTTACTTACAACTCTCATGTGTACCAACCTCTTATTATTAGAAATATTAGCAATGTGTTTTATTTTCATAGCAATTCTACAAACTATTAATAATATTTTAATAACTTAAAAAGTGCAAATATGTTTCTCAGTTAAGTGCATGCCAGCTCTTAGATTATAAACGAGACAGAATCCTTTCGTTTACTGCATACTGCATTCGATCCTCCTTAGCAAAATTCCATGAAATTAACATACAGTTAGAAGATATTGTGTGAGACTTAATATTGGAGAAAACATATATTAGACCGAGCTTATTTTAAAATTATCACGCTTGCGTAAAAACGCACTAATAATCCCAAAACGGGTAAATTCGACACAACATCCAGTTGTGATTTTCTGGCTCGATAAGACTTTGCGTGGTTTTTAGCTTATGACGAGAAAGTGATGAAGTTTTTTACTCTTTGGTAGAAATTGACAGTTTCAAGCCAACCCCATCTTAAGGATATTGTAACCCTCTATTATCATCCAGATACCGAAAATGAGGTTTTTCTTGCATCTCATTATTCGATATGCATCTACAATGTACCTTTTTGCTGATTAAAAGAAATGTTTAAAAAACTCGAAAATATAAAATAACGGCGTTTATATTTCACGTTGCAATGTAAAAGCATACCCAAGATTTTATCACTTAAATTGGCAGAGTTGACCACGAGTGTTCATGTATAGACTAGTCGTAATTTTGGTTTAAATGTTTTTGTTAAGGAGTTATGGGCCCCTTATTACAGATTTTTATTAAACAAAGGCATTATTTTGCTTTATTAACGATACAATCTGAACTAAGACATAAGAAAAGTAAATCGCTGGCAGGGTTTTGGAGTACTAGATCGTATCATTAAATCGGTGTTGAAACGGTGATCCTGGGTGCTCAGGTAAAAGAAAAAATTAAGAAACCGATTTTCAATTTTTACCCATAAATCCCAATTATGACGTCACACTCAACACTGAAGATTTTTCTATTACCCCCCCCCCCCCCCAAAAAAAAAAAAAATGTATGTAAGGCAGTAAATAAGGAGTTTTGGGCAAAGGGTGACAATATCCTTAAATGATAGCTCAGATGGAAACTACTGCTGAATACAATTGATAACAACCAATTCTGCAAGGGGGGTTTAGTTTTAAGTTAATTTTCCTAGCTCTCACCACTTCTTATGCAACCAGATGCCAATGAAAATCAAGTAGACGAGACTAATTTGGCCACGATCATTTGGATCATGCTTTTCACTTGCACGACTTCAACAATTTAAACTCCTCGACGAAGAAACCCGATAATTGCGAAATGTTATGAAAGTTAATTTTCCAGTACTTAATGACTTCATATGACGCATTGGTCATTTTATAATTGAGCATAATGAAACATTCAAACTTAACAAGAAGAATTAAAAAGAGTGGTTTAGGTTAGACATGTATGTCACATATTCTGAATTTTTGCAAAAAATTAAAATAAATACGAATTAATACATAAATAAAATAATTTAACAAGGAAAAAATAAAACGAAAAAAGTATTTTTCATTCTTCTTAGGTGACTTCTAATCAATGGACCCTTCCAAAGAGCGTTTAGTCTTTATGGCTACAAAATAACAACCAAGTCAAATGACGTTAAGAGAAGCATTATAAGTAAACTAATTACAGTTATTATATATTGTTTGTTTCAACTCACGAGAGAGTTAACTATTTAAAGCATGCTGTTGCTTCCAATCATCACAAATTTGCTTCCTGTTCAAATCAGGAAAATTTATTGACAAGGCATACTTTCGTTGATGGTAATTTGGCAATTCCCGATGGGGAAATTCAGAGTGCTTGTTACAATTTTTCTCCTGGTAATGGTTTTTCTTTATCATTCAAAAACTAACAAAGAGACGCCAAAAGGAAAATCGACAGCAAATCTGGAAGTGGCAAAAAAGGTAAATCCACCTTTAATGAAAGACAGGCGAGAGTATCTTGGAGGAAGAAGGAATGCAGACGCCAAACCTGAGGGGACCAAAACAAGAGCAATGGTAAGAAGACATACAAAAAGACACCCCATCCAAGGTTCAGATTTTTCTGAGCCCTGGATACCTGGTAGATTTCGGCGTCATTTATTGGCCGATGACATGGCTGATTTTCCAGATGCCACTTTGAACACATCCGAAATTAATGATGCAACACCTGCATTGAGCACAGTAGCTACCCTTGGGGCCAATACGAGTTTTGCTGAGATAACCAATATCATCCATATTCCAAAACCAAATGTTCAATTCTGTCTTGCTGAAAATTTTCTTACTGGGAGGTTTTTCCAAATACAATGTTTTTGTGACAAATACTGTCACATGTTTGATGATTGTTGTTGGCAAATGGAGCGGGACTGTGCTTCAAACCACACAGAGCAAACTTTCATCCGAAATATTACCCTACCTCAAATGAAATGCCTGAAGGATCCACTGGCATATTCAGAGACCAACCCGGTCTATTTTTGGTTTGTCTCGACATGCCCAGAAAGTTGGCAGGATGAAGGCATACGAATG